CCCGCGCGCCTCCAGCGCCCGTCAGTGGCGTCGCCACCAAGGCAGCGGGCGACTGTCCAGCGGGCCAGCGGCCCATGTGCCCAGCAGCCGTCCAGCGCGTCGCCCAGGTCCTCGCTGTTCACCAGGTAGCCCGTCTTCGCCTCCGAGATGACCAGCCCCTTGGCGACCAGGCCCTCTATGAGGGCAGCCATGGCCTTGGGTAGCTGCTGCACCACCTGAGCCTCGCCGCCGACCGCCTGCAGCAACACGTCGTCAAGACGTTCTGCAGGCGAACCACAGGGTTCTCGCGCACAATCTTCACGAAGAGGGTATGCACCAGCAGCTTGGCCAGCCCGACCGCCCCGCTGCATCCCGCCACAATGGTGCCGTTCGCCTCGAACGGCTTGGAGACCGAGCCGCACCACGACACGCAACGCTGCGTACAGTACGACACGCAGTAGCACCGCAGCAGCGCGAGCGGGAAGCCCGTGGCGACCGCCTGCACGCGCAGCTCCTCATGGCTGACATGCTCGTAGAACTTCGCCAGGTCGGTGACTCCTGTGGCCGCCGAGAGGCCCCTGCTGCGAGCGAAGGCCGCCAGGAGGTTGTGCACCACCCCCGCGCGCTCGCACGGGCACTCCGACGTGCCCCAGAAGGCGGGGTTCTGCAGCGAGGCCTCCCAGCGGGCCACCAGCGGCTGCCGCATCCTGCTCCAGACCCTCAACCAGATGGCCGTGAGGCCGATCGGTCGCTGGCCTCCAGTAGCCTTGGGGATGAACACCACTATCAGCTGCCACAGCGCCTTCCGCGTGGGCCTCCGCTCCCAGGCCTGGAGGAGCTCCAGGAAGCGCCGCCTGTAGGGCCGCGGGAGGCGCAGCAGCTGCTTCGGGTGGAGCCTATCCCAGCCGAGGCCGCACCCCTCGCGGTAGGTGCCCAGGACCCGCTCCAGGTCCTCGAGCTCCAGCGGCGGCAGCACCGACTCCTGGATGTCCCAATCCTCAGGCGCCACCTCGCCAGCGCGCGACGGCTTGATCCAGAGAGGCTGCCACGCCTTCAGCAGCGCAGCCACTGCGGCCTCGCCTGCTACAGGCATGCGCGGACCATCGTCACCGTCTGCGCCCGCGTGCACCACCGTGGGCAGCACCGTGACCTGCTTGATGAAGCGGTAGGCCGCCGAGCCGCCCCTCTCGGTGGCCGCAGCCTGGGCCCAGGCGCGCCACTCTGCAGCCCTCTGCTGCTTGTCCTGCATCCAGCGCCGCCTCGCTTCCTCCTGGACGAACTGCACCGTCAGCTTGCACGATGAGGTGCTGAGCAGGCCCACTACGCGGGCGACCGACAGCTCTGCGAGCGGGCCATGCTCTGGCCACTCGAGCTCGAACGCCTCCAGCACCTGGCGCTGCTTGCGCAGCGGCGCCGTGCATCGACCTCCTGGCGCCGCCTCCTGCAGCGCGCGCCAGCGGGAGCACGCCGCCGCGAACGACATCCAGCGTCTGCAAGCAGCGCCGACACTCCTCTTGAGGTCCTGCTTCCAGGCCGCCTCCATCTTGACCTTCTGCGTGCGCAGCCCGCCTGCGCGCCCTTTCCAGCGGCTGGGCGGCACGATCTCGTGGAGGTCGATCAGGTAGGCCTCCACCGCCTCGAACCACTCCTGGCAGCCAACCGTGGGCGGCTGCTCGCCACCTGGACTCCAGGCCGAGAAACCGCGCTCATGTGGCGCTGGCCTTACTGGCGGCGGTAGCGGCATCGGGAAGGCAGCAGGGAAAAGCGGCCGCTGCACCCTCGCCGCTGGCCCTACGCCGCGGAGCACCACCTTCAGCGGCACGTGGTCCCTCGTCGGCGCTTGCAGCAGCACCTCCACCGTCTCCACGAAGTCCGTGAGGACCTTGCTGACGACAGCGAAGTCGAAAACCTTCGAGCCGCAGGTCGGCCCCGTGGGGCGACAAGTGCAGCGCCCACGCTGCGCGCCCACTCTCCGACGTCCTCGGGCTCCATGTTCCAGTCGCCCATCGCCATCCACGGCGACCCCAGCTGCCCCACGTGCTCGTGCAGCGCCGCCATGAGCCCGATGTTCTCTTTCGCCCTGCCTATCTTCGTGATGAAGTAGGACGAGATGACACGGCACGGCTCCCTGAATCCCAGGTTCCTCGCACGCCTGGAACCGATGGGCTGGGAGCCCTGGCGCAGCGACGGCCGCCGACGGCCGCAGCGTGGCCACAGCCACACCTCCCGAGCTCTCCAGCGGCCCAGGGCCCGTCGCCAGCGCAGCCTGGCCGTGCCAGCTGAGGCCACGCGCCTGCATCCAGCCCGCAGCGCGGGCCACAGCCTGCTTGCCCTTGAGGCGGTGCTCCTGGAGGCAGAGCACCTCGGGCAGCCGCCCCACGCCGTCGTGCAGCCACTCGACCAGGGACTGAGCCGAGCCCCACGCGGTGGTGTTGGCCGACACCAGCTCCACCACGTCCACCGCCTGCGGGCGGCTACCCTGAGGCTGGGCCTGCCACTCGCTGGCGCTTGGCCAGCGCTGCGCGCCAGGCTTCGCGCTGCTGCTCGTCCTCCATGCCCACCTCGTCGAACAAGGCATCGAGCCCGTCGAGCTCTGGGCCCAGGCCGAGGTCGCCGACGCGCTTGCGGTCTCCAGGAGGACCAGCAGCGCCATCCACATCGCCAGCGGCCGCGGGGGCGGCCTCCTGCGCGGCTGCGGCCCGCTCAGCGGCAGCAGCAGCCGCTCGGGCCCGCTCAGCCGCCGCTGCCTCGCGGGCGCGGGCGTCGGCGGCGGCGAGCTTCTCCACGAGGCAGCGGGCCTCCGCGGCCATCGCGAGCAGGGCGCCTCCCTCCTCCCCGAGCAGTAGCACCCGCTCCCGCTCCGCCTCGATGCCCTCGAGGCCCTTGAGCAGCGCCTTGCCCAGGTCGCCCGTCTCCTCAGGCTCGCCCACCTCCATGGGCGACGGTCCTGTGTGCTGCGCCAGGTCGGCGCGCTTCCTGGCGCGCACCGCCTCGGCCTCCTCCTCCAGCTGGTCGCGGCGCTTCTGGAGGACGCCCTCCTGCTCCGCCACGCGAGCCGCGACGGCCTCCTGCTCCTCCTTGACAGCCGCCAGCATGGCTTCTGCACGGCCGACCTGGCCCTTGACCTTCGCCTCCCTGGCCAGGAGGGCCTGGAGAGACAGCTCGGCCAAGGGCTTCGCAGGCGGCGGCACGTCGGCCTCGGGGACCAGGGTCGCGACGTCCTGGACCAGGGCCGCCGACCAGCCCTCCCTGGGGCCAAAGTGACGGAGGAGGGCCAGGCGGACCTCCTCGTCCTTGCCGCCGCAGCTGCTGGGCTTCTCCTCGGCCGCCTGCTTGGCCGCGCCCTGCGCCCACGGCGCCGGCGTGGCCGCGGCGGCGGACGGGCCAGGCCCATCCGAGGCGAACCGCACACGCTTCGCCCCGACCTTCGCCTTCCCTTTGGCCTTGACCTTCTTGGCCTTGTCGATGGCGTCGCCGATCGTGCCAGCTCCCCTCGGCGGCCGCGCCGCCTGGCAGAACCTGCACACCGTGCGCCACGCCATGTTGCTGTAGCCAGCTGCGCACGCATTGCACGTCCAGGGGTCGCCACCCTGGCTGGCACCACGTGCGCCTCCAGCAGCACCATTCGCCATCCGCCCGCGGGGGCACGCCGCTTCGAAGTATGCTCCCGCACGAGCGAGCCCCGTGCTCGCCCCGAAACGGCTAGGAGGAGGAGGAGGAGGAGGAGGAGGAGGAGGAGGAGGAGGAGGAGGAGGAGGAGGACGAGGAGGAGGAGGAGGAGGAGGAGGAGGAGGAGGAGGAGGAGGAGGAGGCGGAGCAGGAAAATGAGGCGGAGGAAGAGGACGAATTGGAGGCACCCAACCACAATGACTGGTGGCTCTGGGGAGGGATGTGCGTCGACGTCAGGCACGTGCAAATCTTATGCTGGGCCGTCCACGTCACAGTACGGAGAGTAGTGCCTCCTGATAATTTGCTACAGTCGATGTTCTGTTGTAAAACCTTTCGCTGGCTTGCAGCGCATTGAGGGTCCGAGAAGCCGTCGTCTCTCATTCCCTGTATGCTGTAAGGCGTTTCTTCAATATCCTTTAGCCGGATGCTCCTCCTGTCCTGTTGGCGATCTCGAAGATTGGTCCAGAATTTGTGAGGGGGCCTTGCACTGCCACAGTTATTTCTGTTGCCTGGCGTTTGTTGCTGCCGTGCCAGTGTGTCGTCTGGACGACCCAGAGCCCGTCTCGTTCCGTCTCTCTCTCTCTCTCTCTCTCTTTCTCTCCCTCTCTCTCGACGAGGGGTCTTGCTGCGTCTAAACAGCTCGCAGAACACTGCAGTTTTCAGGTGTGCGTTCTACCTGCTTTGCCAGTCGAGCAATCGTGCGCGCTAAATTCTGTGCTCGGCTCCTGTGTCTCGTTTGCCTCTTGCTTCTCCAACGCTGCCTGACTGCCGAGCGGTCTGTCAATGTGGCCCTGTTCTGTCGTTTCGGATCGCTCATCTTGCTGTCAGAGCTCTAGCCCCGTTTGGAGGATGAGGGAGGGAAGGAGGGAGGAGGATGAGTAGGAGTGGATGGGGAGAATGCCCAGGGATGTATTGGAGGAGCAGCGGGAAAAGGACGACGACGATGACCCCTACTTCTCTTGTGCCACAATTGCCCCTCCCCTGTCTGCTGGCAACGGGCGCGCTGAAACACTGCGAGGGCATGTGGAGCTTCAAGCAAACAAGCGCGAGTTTTCATAGAACAATGGTTTCGTCGCCGAGGGGAGCTCATTGAGTGCGAGCCTCAGAAAAGAGAGGCTTGAACTACTGGGGTGTGGATATCTGGTCTGTAGTCATTCCGTCGAGAAGTTCCCTGCGGTCTGTGCCTCCTCCTGGACTAGCAGAGGTCTCTCGAGCCCGCTTGAGCTGGATGTGGCTCGTCGCTCTGGGTGGCGCTTGGAGCCCCCGGCTCGATGAAGCTATTCATGTTGATGCATGCTTGGGAGGGTCATGCAGTGGCGGGGCATCCTCTGCCCAGATCGGACCGCGCACAG